TCCCCCAAGGTTCAAGTCTACCAGGAACCTCAGAATGTGACCTGATCTGGAAATACAGTCTTGGCAGATGTCATCTGTTCAGATGAGGTCATACTGAATTAGGGTGGGTGCTGAATCTGATGACTAACATCCTTCTAAGAGGAGGAGACACAGAGCCCATATGACACTGGAGCCAGAGATTAGGTGACGTAGCCTCAAGCCAAGGACTGCCAGGAGCCACCTGAAGCTGGAAGAGGCAAGGAAGAATGATCATCCCTTAGAGTTTTTGGGGAAGCACGGCCCTGTCAACACAGTGATTTCAGATTTCTGGCTTCGAGAACCAGGAGAGAATTAATTTCTATTTTTTTAAGTTTACTTTGAGAGAGAGAGAGAGAGAGAGAGCGTGAGCACAAGCAGGGGAGGGTGAGAGAGAAGGAGAGACAGAATCCCAAGCAGACTCTGCACCATCAGCATGGAGCCCGACGTGGGGCTCGAACTCACGAACTGTGAGATCATGACCCGAGCCGAGATCGAGAGTCGGATGCTTAGCCGACGGCACCACCCAGGCGCCCCAGATTTCTATTGTTTTAAGTCACCAGGTGTTTGGTGCTCTCTTCCTGCCACCCCAGAAAAGTAATGCAGCTCCGGGAAGGCAGGGAGTCACGTAAACAAGGGCATCATGCTCAGTGTGAGGCTGTTTACCTTTCGGAAACCCAGCAGAGTTCTAGAATGTTGGTCCTGGAAGGAGCCAACCCCACTCTTCCTACACAGAATAGGACCTCAAGTCCAGAGCTCAGCGGCCCCCAGTGCCCCTCCGCCAACCCCATCCCCCCAGTGGGGACGCTTTCCCTGCTCGGTACAGAGCCCACCTGCCCTTCTGAGTGTCCCGGCCTGACTGGTCACCCACGTCCATCCTCCCGCCCTCTTCCCAGCAAGCAAACAAATCCTCTTAATCCTTTCACTTAAACGTCTCCCGTTGGAGACAATTTCTCTAAAATGCGAATTTATTCAGGCCCCAGCTTAAAATCCTCTAGGGGCTTGGCTCCCCCAGAAGCTTACAGGTTCCTTTCAGAAAAAAATTTTTTTTAAGTTTATTTGTTTTGAGACAGAGATGGCACGGGTGGGGGAGAGAGAGCGAGGGAGAGGGAGAATCCCAAGCAGGCTCCACGCCATCATCGCAGAGGCCGACCCGGGGTCCGGCCCCACAAACCGTGAGATCACGACCTGGGCCCGGAGCAAGAGTTGGACGCTTAAACGACTGAGCCACCCAGGCCGCCCCCCCTTTCAGGTTCCCCTACCTGGGCTCCGGGGATGAAGGGGGTCCGGCACAGATCTGCCTGGAGGTCACAGGCTGGCAGGTGGAGGGCCGGATGTGGGTCCACCGACCAAGGTTAGGCGCCGCGAATGAGCCCACAGAGGTTGTGGTGCCTACCGAGCTGAAGGGGCTGTTGGACAGAGGGTCGATCTTGCAAAAGGATAGAGGTGTGTTCTGCCCAAGGCGGTGGACGCACCCCAGTTCCCCCCGCAGACCCCAGCTTCTCTGGGCGGCTGGGCCAGGGTCCCGTCACGTGACTGCCGGCTGCCTCCGTGTGCCCTCACAAGGCCGTGTGAGGCCTCCGGCTGGTGCGCCGGGTAAGGGGCCCCCTCACAGCCCTTCGTAAGGTCATCCTGAGCCTCCTGGTCGACCCAAAGCACCCGATTTTCCCATGACACCTGCTCCCTGGGAAGCTGGTCCTTCCCGTGCAGCAGGATCTAGCTTCTGGGAGAGGCCCCAGAAGACTCCACCCGAGGCTGCATCCGCGGGGTCCTGAGAGTGGCCGGGCAGCCCCAGTGGGGATGGGGCGCGGTCGGGCCCCCCCACCCCGATCCCGCCGCCCCTCTCCGCAAGCCCTGCAGCTGGGACGGAGAGCAAGCTGTCGCCAGGCCGGAACAGGAGCCAGCCCGTCCCACCGTGTCCCTCATTTCAAAGCCTCAGCATGGAGGGCCCGGTGGCCCTGGCGGGAAGAGGCTCTGGGAAGAGGAGTTTTGATTGCTGACTTTTTTTATTTTTCACAGTACCAGCAACTGCAGGGGACATTTGCCTGAGGCGACCGGCCATTCACTTCATTTGTGTCTCTTCTTTTTCATTACTGTCCCTGTCCGTTGCACGGCGCGTCCGAATCGCGGGCAGCCAGCGGTAGGAAAATACCCACAGCCTCCTGATTCCTCGGGACCATTTCTCACCGAGCTCAGGCAGCCTCGCTGGGGAGAGTGCGGTGTCTAGAAAGAAGTAAGAACAGATTTTAGTGAGGAATACCAGCATTGGAGCGGGGACAAAAGAATGGACGTGGTGAACAGATGGGAGGGTGTTTAGCGAAGACTCATGATCTATGTGAATAGTGCAGGCTGGGACCTCCCCTCTTTTTGTTTTTGATGCATCAGGGTATGATATGATAGGATATGACAGAACGTGTCAAAAATTTAGGGGAAAATAAAACCCTGGGTTTTTTTTTTGAAACATCAAACTATTGCTATCAATAGGAACAGCAACTGTTCAAAAATTTGTTTCAGAACTGCCAAGAAGTGAGCGTTCGTGGAAAAAAAAAGTATTTTTCCCTGCTGTTTGCAAGGTGGACACAAATGAAAACAGTAGGAGGTTGACAACTTGGCACATGTCTAATAAATCTGAGGCATAAAAAGTCAACAATTCACCGTTCAAGAAAGCATTACCGGAATAAAAAGTGCTACGCGGAGAAAGAATAACCATTAAAAAATAGATTTTCTGAATTCAGTAAGTAATTTAGCCCTCAGAGCGCCGGTCTTCAAAACAAGGAAGCTTTTTCTTTCTCCCCGTAAGAGAGAGAGGGGCAGTGCTGAGCTCAGAACGGAGTGCCCTGCTGCATCTGAAATGAACCAGGTGAAAAGGCAGCTCCCAGAGAGCAGATGTTAGGGGCTCGGAGGGCTGGTGACAGGGGTCAGAGAGCGGGGACTTCCAGATCCAGGCTGCTCAGCGGCTCCACGCAGGAGCGGGCTTAATTTGACAAGTTGGTCCAGTTATAGGGAATTCACAGATCGCGGTCCATGCCAAGCAGATTTGGCCACCAACAGCACGTCTGCGGCTGGCCAAGAGGACGGCAGGTGGGCGGCCATCCCTGCTCTCCCCGCGCTAACGCCACCGACAGAGAGGCAGAGCCCCGGCGAGGCGAGGGCGCGGGGAGCCCGGCCGGAGAAGCCGAGGGCTTCAGAGGTGGGACGAAAGAAGGAATCGCGGTCCTCGTATCACAATAGGGATGGTTTTTGTTCTCACCATTTTCTGTTCAAGCTCCTAATTCTTTTTTGCCACCACGATGAGCATGGTGGGGAGGAAGATTTTAAACGAATGTGAAAACTGTTGGTAATTCTCATGCAAGTCTCATGTAAACAAAAATATCAGCATGAAAGTTATGAATCCTAATGTGTGGCACGGAGCTAAAATCTGTATCTTTTTGAATTAGAGGAATATAGATATACAGCACTGAGTAGCGTCTCTGTGCAGTTCAGGAAACTGACACAGTCTCTCCAATTTATAGGGAAATTGACATAATTTTGCAAAAAGGCAAAACCATTTGTGAACTGGGTTTTGCATAATGGGATTAATTTGGTTGACTGTCATATCCACTATGCTGCAAAATGCAAGTTAATCACAACATCATTTTGAGTTTTTTTAAGGGAAGAAAGAGAAAGGAAGAAAGGAAAGGCATTTTTCCCCCCTCATCCGACTATCTTTTCATTAAGAGAAAATACCCATTCTTCTAGTCTGCACCTTAGGTAGCTTCAGGAAATAATGCCAGATGAATTTTGCAGTGGCCGCCTCCATGAACTGAGCCGAATTGGCCTACCTCCAACGAGAAAAATTAACAGCTTTCATAGAAGCATGAAAAATTGCTTCCAAGGAAAGCCCGTCCTGTATGCTTCCGTGTATGTGTGCGTCTGCTCAGAGCTACACTGCACAATAGGGCTGAGGCCGTATCACACACATCTTGTCGCCACGCTCAGTTCCGTAGCGTCATTATTGTGAACTCTCTTTCCATCTACGGACAAGATCTAGATGATTCAGGAAGGTACCAATTGTATCCAAGAAGGTACGATACGTGACTACACTCGTCAGAAAAGCTAGGTTAAACCATGGCAACAAATAACCCAGAGTCTCCATGGCTCAACACAGGAGCTGCTTGCTTCTTCTGCCTAGGTGTAGGGCAGTGGGGGGAGGTCTTCTCACGGGGGTGCCCTAGCCCCCCCCCCCCCCCACTGATAGTACTTTATCTAGACACAGGCTCCGTTGAGTGCCCAGTCAGGACAAAGGGAGCAGGGGAGCCCAGTGAGTTCCCCGACCCTCAGTTTCTGCCTGGGAGAGACACTTTCACCACTGCCCGCATTTCCTTGCCCAAAGCAAGTCCTGTGGCGGCACCTACCTTCAGGGCAGCAGGGAGGACCAGATCTGTCCACGCGTCACAAAGGCCACGGTCATGTGTGGAATTTGTCTGTATCTCTCCACCGCTGTGAGGACTGGCCGTGAATCTGCCCAGCATGTCTCCTCTAGATGGTGGGAACCAGTGTGATGGAGAAGGGTCTCCTCCCTGCAGGGAAGGACTCGGCACAGGTGTCATTTAGCCTCGAATCAACTCAACCCAACAAGGACCAAGAGCCCACCCCGGGCCGGACACCGGAGAGGGGACGGTGACGAGGAAGACCTTCCTCTTGTCTGAAGGGAAGGACAGAATGAGCTCCTTAGGGCAAAGCAAAGTATCCTAAGTAGCACGACTGGCAAGCACAAGATGGGGGTGCCTGGGTGGCTTAGTCGGTTAAGCGTCCGACTTCGGCTCAGGTCACGATCTCGCAGTCCGTGAGTTCGAGCCCCGCGTCGGGCTCTGGGCTGACGGCTCGGAGCCTGGAGCCTGCTTTGGGTTCTGTGTCTCCCTCTCTCTCTGCCCCTCCCCCCCCCAAAATAAAAATTAAAAATTTTCAAACCTTAAAAGAAAAAAAAAGACAGAAAACCACGAGAGCATCCGAGTGTGATGTGTAGGGAGCAAAACTCAGGAAGGCTTCCCAGGAAGAGACATTTCTACTGAGTCCTGAAGGGCCCAACAGGTGGGAGAAGGGAGGGGTCAGCATGTGTGGGAGACCGCGAGGGCTCCGGTTTGGGAAGAGCTGAGGTTGGCGGAGGGAATCGGTGCTCAGTGGTGGGTGTCCCGGCAGGTGGAACCCGGGCATTTACACTTGCTTTGGCAGCTCCGGGCAAGAACGGCTCCCGTGTCTCCCTGTCGGCGTCCCGGGTCTGGAGGCTCGTGTATGGGATGCTTGTGCCAGCGTCACACTCTCAAGAAGACAACGCCCTCCGGAGTCTCAGGTCCCCCTTCCGAAGCGTGTCGGCCGGGCCACCTGGACGGTGACACCTGACCTCCCTCGGCCTGTTTTCTCCTCTCTGTGGGTTTCACGTCTACGCGGTATGGTTGTTCAGAGAGCTTGAACGGATGATGTCTGAAGGACCCAGCACGAGACGCTTGCTCCTGAGAAGCCGTGGTTGCTGGTAAGAGTTTATTGTTAGTTCGGTTTTAAGGAGAGAAACTGCTGATTAACTACTTGGACCCCTATGGGGGCTGCTCAGCTGATAACAATTCCCCTGGTGGCCCGCGTGTCCCGTTCCCCTGCCCCTCCAGCTGTGGCTGATTTACCCACAGGTAGAGACACCTCACGGCGCACCAGAAGGCTCTGTCGCCGAGACTGTGAGACTTGGACGAGAGACCCATAGAGCCACATCACCGCACGGTGTGCCCCAGGGAGCTGTTAGAGGTCGAGGCTCAGCTGTGGGGCTGGGCCCTGGGTTCTGCGGACCACCCCAAAGTCCTCTCGGGGGATCCCACTGTGCGGTCAGGACTGCCAAGAGTGGCCGTCACAGCTGGCCTCCCAAGTAGCCTTGGCCAACAAAACAGGCTTCTGAGGTAAAGGACTCCTGTTCCTCCAAAGGACTTCCAAGTAAGATTGGCTCGTGATCGATTTGATTCCTTTGATTCGAACAATCGTCACTGGTCAGTGGGTGGCACAGGGCAGGCTCCCGTGGGAGCGGTCCCTGGGCGTCTGAGTGAGCAGGAGGGGGCAGTCTCCGACCACAGAAGAGCTCCACAGGGCAGGGGGTGCAAACAGCGCCCACACTGCACGAGCATCTCCAGGCGTGGGTGCTCTGACTCCGAGGGTTTGTCCTGCCGCTATGCCCGTGTAGACCCGCCTGGATTCTGCTTTGCAGGGAAGCCCCCAGGTGTGGTGCCGAGCTCTGGTTCAGAGAGGGTGACAAGCTGGCCTCCAGCCCCAGTGTCAGGCCTGTCTTATTTCCCTGGGGCTGGAGGTGGGGAGAGGAAGGGGGAGCTAGCTTTATCGGTGCCCACTATGTGCCACATGCTGATTCACCTACTTCTAAGCTCGGCCACCTACTTCTGACTCAACGGGCAGTGGTCTCAGTGTGTCCCCAGCCACAGGTGGAGGGGAAACGAAGCCCCTCGCTTGTGGTCACCGGCTAGAAGGGATAGATGGAAACTGATTGCCAGTCCTAGCCTCTGGGACGCTAATGGTCTGAGCACTGGGCAGGTACTTCTCAAGGGATTAAGGAGGAAAGAAAAATAAAGGTAAGAGAGAGGCAGACAAAAGGGAGAAGTGGGCACTCCCCACTCCCCCCCCACACCAAACAACGAAAAGAATCAGCCCCTCAAAAGTTCTTTCAAACATTTAGCCCCCTGCATCTTGGTAAAGTTCCACACTGTTTCTGGAGCACGGAGGGGCACCCTGTATCCATACGCTTGATGTAAAGGTGCTAATCCCAAGACTAGGAGGCCACCAGCTATTGACCAAATATAAAAGTAGAAACAGCTTGACAGACAGACAAAACTTTAAAAACACTGAGGCCTGGGTCCTCCTCCAGGAGATGCTGGCAACTGATCTTGGTTGCATCCTAAATGCACAGAGGTTTGAAAGCTCCCCAGCCCTATAGCGGTGAGCACACCCCGCATCCAGAGTGTGGTTGCTAATACCCTTCTCCGATAAAAAGAACCAGGGGTCTGTGGAGAAAGGGTCGGAATGCGAGATGGGCGCATCTTGTGGTGCCAGAAAGTAAGGAGGTGCTAAAACACAAAACCAGACCCATAGTGCCACCATGATGGGGACATGTCAGGAGGACACGGGAGCAATGGAAGGGACCTCCGTTGGCTGACACGTTTGAGCAAATACATGAACGAGGCAGTGTCGGAATATAACTCGAAGTCTACACCGAGTCCATCCTGCCATAAATAAGTGGTTGACTAAAGAAATGAAGACGGAGGAGAATCTGCTCTGCAGAATTTCAAATGATTTGTGTGGAACCTCCACGCCGGAGGAGGTGGAACAGAGTTCTCTGCTCCTGGAGCATGCTGGGCTGCTCACAGGGCCTTCCTGCCCCCAAGTACAGCATATGGACAGGGGGAAAGGGCAACCTTCCACGGGGGGGACCCTGACAGGCACTGCCTTGGCCATGTGATCACGTTTGACATCAACGATAACAAGTGCCCTGACGGCAGGCACCCTCCATGGGATTTCTGGGACCTTCCTCTCCTAGACCCATAAATGCAGTCTGTCTTAGCCCATTCTCTGCTCTCACAAAGTACCATCAGCTTGATGGCTTGTAAACAGCAAGCAAGGAGTCCTCACAGCCCTGGAGCCTGGAAATCCAAGATCAGGGTGCCCGCGTGGTCCAGCGAGGGCCCTCTTCTGGTTTGCAGACTGCTGACCTCTCACCGTGTCCTCACCTGGTGGGTAAAGGAGCTAGCAGCCTCTGCGGCTTTTTCTCGCAAGGGCACCGATCCCGTTCACGAGGGATCGACCCTCCTTATCTGATCACCCTCAGAGGGCCCACCTCCGAATAAAACCACCCTGGGGATGAGATGACAAAATGCGAGTTTGGGAGAGACATGGGTATGTCTATAACATTACCCATAAGAAAACCATCCAACTCAATCTGAGAGACAACTCAAATTGAGAGACACTCTACAAAATACACAACCAACCTTCCGCGAAACCAGCAAGGTCATTAATCTCAGCGAAACCTGAGAGGCTCAGCCAAGAGGAGCCTAAGGAGACCTGATAACTGAAGTAATGTGCTGTCCTGGACGCAATCCTGGAACAGAAGAAGGTGAAAGCTCAGGAGATCTGAATAATACATAGACTTCGGTTCGTACTAATGCATCGACATTGGTTCGTTAATTGCGACCGACGTACCATCGTAATAGACAAGGCTACTAACCGGGAAACTGGGTGTGTGGCATGTGGGGGCACTATATTGTCTTTGTAATTTTTCTGTAAGTCCAATTATTCTATAATTAAAAGTTGACTGGGAAAAAAAAATGCCACTCCCAGGGGATTTCACTGGACAGTTGGGGGGGCGGGGCGCTGCTTGGGACCCTGTGTGCGTGGCTCCGCCATAATGGGAAAGTACTGACATCACCGGGCCCCTTTGCTATGCGTTTCTTACCCAGGATAGGAAGTGATCCATACGGGAGGCGTGGGGTCTGTCTGAGGACACCGGACAAAGGAGACCCGTCCCGTCACTCTGGTTTGGCCATCGCACTCTGTGGGCCCCCAGGTAAGGTTTCCTTTACCCGGCAGGGTCCCTGTGCTGGAAACATGGAAACCAACCCCTCTCTGCACTTCTGTGCTGACACAAGAACAGACATTGCAAATGGATATTCGTGCTCCTGAGAGGCTGTGTGAACGCAGTTGAACCTCCGGGTTCTGTGCCTCTGTTCCCACTACGTACATGGTGACGGGCTCCCGAAGCCAGTCGGTCACCCTGGGGAGGTGGGGAGCTGCACGGGGCTGCCCCAGGCTGCGACAGGGGGGCGCGGAGGCCCCCAGGAAGTTTTCCATCCTCTTCCCAACCCTTAGCCTCCTCCCCCCCAGATGTCCCTTGGCCATGGAGGGGGCCTGGTGGCCACCTCCCTGAGGACCAACACGGGCCTAGGAAAGGACGTCCTTGTCCAAGCTGAGCCAGCCCCCGGGGCCAGGGTTTGGCCTCCAAGTGGTCTTTGTTTGAAGATAATCTGCGGGGCGGCTGGTGAGCCATCAGCAGGGGGCCAGACCGACCCTTGTCCTCCACAGTGTATCCCAAGGGGTGCCCTCAGGAAGGGACAGACGCCTCGGGCCCCTGACCCGGCATCTGCCTCCCACCCCCACCGAGATGGGAAACTTGCGTGACGGACCCACAGACTTGTTGCTAGGAAACCGCAGGAGCAACCTTTGTGATCTCACATATGCTTAACACAATAATAAATAATGGTTAACACGATAATAAATAAACAAATAACAATAATTATAACACGCCCCAAGCCTGTTGTTTCTCCAAAATTAATTTATGATGAATTACGGCTCAAATTCCTTGGAACACGAGCAAGGGGAGGGGAGAAGAACTTTTATTCGCCATCAGGCACAGAAGGGGTGAGAAACGGCCTCTCCCTGACCAAGCTCTTCCCGGGCCTCTGGGGACCCACGGGAGGCACCCAGAAGGGGCTCTCCTCCTTGCCTGTGCCCCTCACACCGCCTCTCCCCTGCCTGCTACGGTTAAGTTTTTTAGATACTTTACTTGCATTTCTAATTCAGTTATTCCTCTGAAATTTATTCAAAGGATTTATGCTTATGAAATTATAATATAATGCTGCCTATATGCCAATGAGCTGCAGGCAAAGAAAATAATTTTCTTCAATTTACAGTTATGAGGCTGGAGGGAAATGATGCCTTCTTATCACCTCTTTCTCTCTGTGTGTCTTGGCATTTTTTTAAGTCTTCAGAAGGCAGGAGCTGATGATGAATCCTTAAGCAGATCACACTGATAATTGTATTTCAGAGATGGCAGCTCCGTGAACGCTGTCCACCGCCCGTCGCCAGTCACTGGAGGTACCGGTGTCACCCGCTCCTTGTCTCAGAAACTCAGCCTCGGTATCGCCAGCTCGCCGGGGATGTTGTTAGATCGTCCGAGAGGATTATTAGATGGAAGGGAAATTTACGGATGACACTTGGTAACAATTAATCAGGAGCTGTTGATAAAGTTAAGTTGGTTCTCTTACCCCTACCCCCTCCCCGAGCTATAGACGTTGCGTCTATATGTCTAGGTATAGACATCTAATCGTAATAATATGCAGGCCTTGTTCCGATTGTCAAATGCCTCATTTTGTCACTCTGTTTGATTAATGGACCCTTTGGAGTCCCCAAAAAGTCCTCGTAATACAAATAAAAAGAATCATAAATATTGAATAAGCTCACAGCACAGTTAACCTTGACTACATTTTGGGACATTCTTGGAGAAAGTTTGCTATACGGAAAATAAATTGCTGTGGGGATTAAAAAAATATGCGCCCTCACACCAAATTGGAGATTTTGGACAATGTCACCCCTCTCACCTTGTCACTCTTATTAATCTGGTGTGATTAATTAGTTTAGTTAGCTTTACATTCAGGCCAGCAAAGGGCCGGACGGCTGGCGTGCTAGCATACTAGGGGCCCCGTGCCCCATCTGCCAAAGGGATTCGGGGGCGAGGAGGGGCTAATGGGGACAGCGCTGTAACCCCACGCGGCACAAAAATGGGGGATGTGCACGGGCCGTTTCGGACGTCATTTATGGGCAAGAGCCTGCAGGGGGGCTGGGGACTCTCAGCTGCTTTGGCAAAGGCCTTCTCTCCGTGGGTGGGTTCTCGTCATGGAAACGCTCGGTTCTCTCAGACCCAAGTCTGCCCTCAGTAGCCGGGGCCCTTTGAGACGCCCCCTTACATACAGATCACAGACGGGACGGGTCAGTTGACCCGGAACACCGATCCCAGCTAGGCCGTAATGACCTGCTGATTTTCTTCAGCCCCTAGCCTGTGGTGAAGGGCTGGGTGGAGACTGAGGCCCGGACCTGCTTCTGCAGTGTGGTTGGTGCATGCCCGTGGGCACAGACTCTCGGTTTGCTCGGCTCTCGGTTTGCCCGGCTCTCGGTTTGCTCACCTGTGGACTGGGCATTCCCACCTCGTAGGATGGTTATAAGGATGAAATGAAACAAAGGAAAAAAATGTGGCACACTGTCCGGCATATAAACAATACTCTGGGGGCACCTGGGTGGGCCAGTGAGTTAAGCGCCTGACTCTTGATTTCGGCTCAGGTCATCATCTCACGGTATTCCTGGGTTCGAGCCCCGCTTCGGGCTCTGTGCACTGACCTCATGGAGCCTGCTTGGGATTCTCTCTCTCTCTGTGCCTCCCTTGCTCACGCTCTCTTTGTCTCTCTCAAAGTCAATACATAAACTTCAAAAAAAAAAAAAAACCGCCCCTGGTGGGGGGAAAATTGGCCCCCCCCCCCCCAGAAGAGGTATTGATGTCTTAACCCCTGGTACCTGTGGGTGTGACCTTCTTAGGTGTGGGCTGATGTAATTGGGTTGGAACCAGGTCACAATGGAGCAGCGTGGGTCCTCATCCAATGACAGGTGTCCTTGTAAGGAGACAGAAAGGTGGACGCAGACACCCAGGAGAAGCCACGTGACCGCAGAGGCAGAGATAGGAGTGATGGATCTCTGAGGCATCCAGGGGCCTCCAGAAGCTGGAAGAGGAGAGGAAAGATGCCCCCGCCCCGCCCCCAGAGCCTTCAGAGGGAGCGCGGCCCTGTTCACACCTTGATTCCGGGCTTCGTGCCTCCAGGACTGAGAGACTATGTTTCTGTTGTTTCGGCCACGTTTGCGGTGCTCTCGCCCTGCAGCCCCGGGAAACTGATCCACGCTGTCGATGGCGACCCTGATTTGGTCTGTGGGGAACAGGAGCAGCAGGGCTGAGGACTCGGCCTGGTCTGCGTGGGGCTGGTTTCTCCCGTCCGCGCTTCCCCAGGCAGAGTCAGGATCACGCCGGCGGCCTCCCACCGCTGACGGGGCTGCGGTGGAGGCCCGCAGGCCCGCAGCCCTACCTGCCGGGTGAGGGACTGCATCGGGGTACCCTGGCGCTCCTGAGGGCCAGCTCTCGGTCAGTCGTCCTAACCCAGACCCCGCGGAAGTGCTGCAGAGGCAACGCGACCCGTGATTCGGGGGACAGGGATTCATTCCGGTGTATCGGTTTATGTGGCCTTTTCTCAAGTTCCATTGTTATTTTTAGATACAGGCAAAATTCAAAAGAACTCAACTACCCTAATACACCCCAGGAAATTATCTGCTGAAACATAAGGCGCCTCACGTTAGGTACCAAATATATAACGGAGAAGCTGCAAGTGACTGCAATTTTGTATGTGGAGACTTATTTTCCTGTTGACGTTTCGGGATAAATCCAAGAACTTATTTCCTCCGAAGTGAAAACGTTGGCCCCCGTCACACTGAAAATGACACTTGCCTCTTGCTCCTTCTCCCGGCATTGTGGGCCTGACGTGCTCCGGAGGTGACACAGCCCTTCCAGGCCCCGGCTGTGCCCCCCGCACGTCCGAAAGGCCATCACACACGGCGAGTTTCTGCAAACGCCACGCGGACTCTGGTCCGAGGGAAGAGGGTGGCTGGGAGGTCCTGAGAGCGGGCTCTCCGAGTGGGGCGGGCGGAAGGTTCAGGGTGCGGGCTCGTCAGAATCCCCTCCGTGGGGAGCTCCGACTTTGGATCTCCGGCTCAGGTCACGACCTCGTGGTTCGTGAGTTCAAGCCCCGCGTCGGGCTCCACGCTAACAGCAGAGCCTGCTTGGGATCCTCTCCCTCTGCGTCCCTCTCTCTCTCTCAAAGTAAGTAAATAAACTTAAAAGGAAAAGAGAGGGAGTGGTTCAGGGAGCACGCTAATCCGAGGGGAAGGTCAGGGCTGGGGAGCATCATAGGACTTGGAGCCAGGCCGGGAGGGAATCTGGCCATGCAGCCGGTGGAGTCAGAAGTCAGGGTGCGGCGGGCAGGGAGACAAGGGACGGAGAGCAGTGGGGACTCTCGGCACAGACGACTTTTCCGTGAAGCCGCCCCCGAGGAAAGGGACACGGAGGCCACAGGCCACGAGTCACAGGTGTAACCGCCCGGGTGTGCCTCTCCCGGCGCCTTCCTGCTCAAGGCTACCTGCCCTCTCCTCCCTGCGTTCCTGTGCCTGCGCGGTGACCCTGGGTGGTGCATAGTGACCGTGAATGTTTGCTTGGATGAATGACTCAATGAGCAGCAGGACTGGGCACATTTCTGGGCTGGGAGGGGAGAGCCAGGGGCAAGCGAGGGAGGGACACCTACGAATGAGGTCCTTCCTGGAGGAGAGGGGGGCCCAGACCTCACTGTGTGTGGCCACGGAACCCTGGTGTCGGGGTGATTCCTCCCAGACGCTCCTGCCGCTTTCGGGGTGCAGGGAAGGTGAGGTTTTCTGAGAAGGAGGGAGGAGTCGGTGGGAAGAAGGTGGCGGAGGCAGCGAAGCTCCGAAGGCTGAGCCTGGCAGGGAGGAAGCGGGGGCCTGCCTGGCAGCCGGGGATGGAAGAGTGGGGGGCTGGCCGAGCAGGGGGCAGAACAGTGAGTCAGGCGGGCAGCGGAGGGGGGAATGAGCACCCTTAAAGCCTGGAGCCCGGTGCTCTGGCCTCATGGACATCACGTGGGCAGGAAAGGGGCAGCAGGACCTAGTCTCGCCCGTGATGGGGAGCTTTTCTTGGGAGGCAAAGATTTTAGGTGAATCTGCGACGTGGGTCTTAGCGATCTCGGGTGGAGATGATTGTTCCGGTATCCCAGGGGGCTGAGACGTTGCGTCTTCCCCGAAGGCAGGCGCTGGTTTGGGAGGGAATCCAGAAGTGCAGCTGAGCACACTGATTGCTCACTTCGTGATTTTCTGAAAAGATCTCAAGCGGCACACGAGCACCTATTTGAAAGATGCTCACATTTGGGTCTCCGTCCATATTCATTAGGGTAGCGGTAGCTGTTGGGACAGACGAACCCAGCCTCGTGCGGCCTTAGCACAGATTGTTTTGTCACGCTGGGGGCAAGAAAGGGGCATCGCTGGTCGGTGCCTCACCCGGGCCGCTCTGGGTCTGAGGTTCCAGGCTCTCTGACGGGCAGTGAGCCTGGGCACCGGCGGAGAGGGAGCCCCGCAGGTGCAGGGTTTTCATCAGCCTGGCCTGGAAGTGTCCACAGGGCTCCCGCGTCCAAGCGACTGGCCCAAAGGGCCCTGGGGCCCCGAGTATCCATAGGGGCCGGAGACTGTAGTCCAACTGTGTCTCTAACTACAGGAGGAGACAGGGTCGGTGGACTTGCCACGTGGACTTTCCGCTCCCCCCACCCCCCGGGGCTAGAGTAAGGGGAAATAACAGGTGTTTCTGAAACTGGAACCTATGGGCTGGTTGCTTGAATTTATGGATTGATCCAGCGAAAGATTTGTGCCGAAACATCATGAATTGCTCAAATGTAAACCTGTACGCAGCTCACAGGCCCCAAACAAAGGTGATCCGTGGCCGTAAATAAAGGAAGAAATGTTGTTCATTTCTTGCCAACATGGATAGCTCTTCAGTACCTAAATCCGGGATTTTTAAACTTTTCCGTCCGGAACTAACTTCCAGCCCATCTGTGGTCGCATGTTGTGAATGCACATTACACTCTCTTTGCCCTTGTATGTTCCCGAAACAAACGTTGGGTCTTTCGGATGTATTCTTCACTGGTAAGAGAGGGCGATACTCTGGCTGTATCCGAGGGTGACATTCTCATGTCTAACGTGTCACTTCCTTCTTTTCGAGGTGAGTGCATTTCCATCTGTGTGAGGCACCCCCAGGTGGGAGGGGGTGTTCTGCTTTCACAGAGTCTCAAGTCATCATCTGGAACGTGGCTGGGGCTTTAGGTGCCGGCAAAGAAGGCTGGGGGTTTTCAGATTTACCCCCAAATAAAGTGCTAAAGTCGTGCTGATGGTCTTACGCACACGCGGGGGGATGGTCTCTTGGAGGGAACAGGGTCAGTGCTCAGTGGCAGACGCATGGCCCCTCAGAGAATTTGCGGTCCCCCGAAAGACTCTCCCCTCTAGCAGGGGATGGCCCCACCCCTCATTATGGGTGCCACGCGGGACTGTAAAAAGACTTGAAGCCCTGTCAAATGCCTTATTAAAGTGGGAGTGGTTAAATGGTTATCTTTTTATAAAACACACATGATTATTATAGAAGATTTAGAAAATGCAGAAAAGCATACAAAGCAGCTGTATATTTCTGCTGCTGCTGTTGAGAGAGAACCACTGTTAGCATTTTAGACAATTTCCTTTCAGGCTTTTTTCAGTGCATACGTGATTTACAAAAATCAGCCTCATGCTGTATGCACTGCTTTATAACTTGATAGTTTTCGTCCAATGGTAGATACATCATGACATTTCTTTAATGATTTATAATGGATGTATTACATATCCTTACGGATACTTACTATAATTTCTCCACTATGGACTGAAGGTGGCGAAAAGCGTAATACGCAAATATTCATGCCTATCTCTGACTATTTCTGTTGGATAGATTTTTAAAAAAGCATTTACGTCTTGAAGGCTATAAGTGCGGTGTGTAGTGTAACATTGTTGGTTACCTGCTGCCCAACTGCCTGCAGGATCTTGTATCCCGCCCCCTGCCCCCACTCCAATGGTCAGAGAAATGTCTTTAATGAAGTCAAAGGCTCCACCCAATTGGCCAGTCTAGGGTCAGATATCATGTTCTCTGTTCTCCATGCATGGCACAAAACAGATACTCGATAAATGTCTGTTGAATAAACGGACAGGCCAATGACGGATGGGTAAGCCCCTCTGTTGTCTCCGCTTAGCCCACCTCTGCGGGTTTTCCAATATGGCAGAACTTCAAACGGACACCAGCGATGTCACACAGCAGTGACTGCAGGAGTCGCCATCCACTGAGTGCCTTCTAAGGACCCCGTGCTTTACGTATGTATAGCTGATCCTCACTATTTGCAGATTCCATATTTGTGAATTTTCCTTCTCACTAAAATGTATTTGTAACCCCCAAATCAACACCCATGGTGCTTCCACGTCACTCGTGGGTATGTGCAGAGCACCAAAAAACGTGATGCACACGTTCCCAGGTCCAACAGGGCAACACTCTGCCTTCTTGTTTCAGCTCTCCTACGGTAAACACCTGTCCTTTTCATGGTCTACTTGGTACCATGTTGTTCATTGCTATGCTTTTTGTTGATGACTTTGCAGTTCAAAATGACGCCCAAGTATGGTGCTAAAGAGTGTGACGTGCCTCATGGAGAAAATAGGTATATTAGGTAAGCTTCATTCAGGCCTGAGTTATGCTACTGCTGGCCATGGGTTCAGTGTTCATGAATCCACAGTAAATATTAAATAAGGTGTTTTTAAGGGGAAACACATAAAATAAGGTTCTGTATACATTGGTTGATGCAGGTTGTGGCCAGGGGCTTGGGGGAACCTAGTCTTGCGCTTCCCCCTAAGAGCGATCGTCCAGCATTTACTAATTCCATGTTCACGTGACTTCATAGAGCGTGACTCTCTTGAACAATGAGAACGGACTGTGGTTCCTTGTCCTTGGAATGACACCATGGGCACTGTCCCCGTTTCACAGAGATGATGTCTAATGATCAGCACTGGATAACAGAGTCAGATTCTGAACCCCCCTCCATGGGACCCCAAAGCCGTCCATTTTCCAATGCACCCACCACTGATTCCAGCCAGAATCGTGGCGCTCTAAGCTTGCTGTCCTCCCTCTCTGCTCTCCCTGTCTTTGGCCTGTCCTACATTTGGAGCTTCTCCAGGAGGCCGGCACAGACCGTCACACCAGGCCTCCATTCCCCGCATGGGATGGCTTCCCTGGAGGACAGCAGCCTGATATTCTGGAGTCAGGATCCAGTTAGCTCCACCGATTCTGTCTCCACTTCAGTGTCTCTGAAATGGGGAAGCAAGTTGCCATCAATGACACAGTGCCACGGGCCATTTGAGACGTGCGGTCGTGGTTCACGTGTGCTTGAACTCAGGTGGTTTTCCTGGTGGGATGACTGGACCACATCAAACCCCCAATGTTAGTCAAAAACTATGAAGTCAAAAACTATTCCTTCTGGGAAGGAATGCGTTGTAACTATGAAAATCTTTTCTTGACATCTGATAAGATCAAGTAAACTTGGAGGATGTTCATTGTTGGGAGAAATTTCTGGAGTCAGCACTGGTTATAATTTCTATCTCTTTGACCCTCTGCGATACATCTTGGACAATTTCCTGACTCTTTTCCAATTCATGAATTCTCTCTTCAGGTATATCTAATTGAGAATTAAACCATTACTTAAATTGTTATTTTCAGTTCTTTTTTTTTTTTTTTTTACTTCCTAAGATTATATCCATTCTTTTTCAAATATTCAAGGTTGTTTTGATATTTTTCCTGAAGTTCATTTCTTTTTTTTTTTTTTAACGTTTATTCTTTTTGAGAGACAGAGACAGAGCAAGAGTGGGAGAGGGGCAGAGAGAGGGAGACACAGAATCTGAAGCAGACTCCAGGCTCTGAGCTGTCAGCA